TTTTTGTAGTTACTTGGACTGCCTCGTCTCTCAGAGTCAGTATGGTAAAAAGTACCGGATACAACATTATGATGGGGACTCTTTATTTGGAAGAAACTAGGTCCAATGAAAACTGGAAAACTTTGCTGTTGAATTTTTATAGAATTTAACCACAAATGAAACTCCATTCAATTATATTTAAATGAAGGTAGAAAGCTCAGAAATTTGACTTTATTCATTCATTTAATTAAAGAACCAACTTAAATCTACTGAAATCTCAGTGGAGCGATCATGCAAGCAAATTACAACACTTCAAGGTTCATATTTTTATGTTCCATTACCCAGCCTCCACCTATTCTGTGTACCTTCATACTGTAAAACCTCAGCAATCCAGTGATGTACTGACTAGAGAACAGTGGCTGTACTGATATTACCAACCACACTTGGGCTCCTCTCCTCATCTCTCCTGTCATTCTCAGGCTTGTTACAGTATGATGCATTTCTCTAGTACAGGAAGACCTGCACCTTCCACATCTTTCTTTAAAATTCCATTCTCTTTTTATTGTGTGTGTGTGTGTGTGTGTGGTAAAACTTTGTGTAAAGTTTCTGTAGTAATGAGTAGTCCTGTGGGAAGCCTGACAATACTTATAACCCTTAAATGTCCTTAAGCCATATTACTACTCTGCAGTGTTGGAATCTTACAATATGTAAATTCTAATCTAAATTAGTGGCTTCACATAAAGAACTTGTATGTACATTTTGTGTGTGTGTGTGTGTGGCACTGTGAGTGAGCTCATCTCCCACTCATCATTAAACTGCCACTGTTAAAAAAGATGACTAAGGTACTAAGTAAATCAATGTGTTAAAACATGCACAGAGAAAAAGCACCTGTGTGATTGCATATAATTTTTAAGGCAACTGATAGCAGTGTGGTTTGTATCCCACAGAATGGTAAATTTGGTCAGTTGTTAAAATGGTGTGTGCTTGGATGTCTTGCAGCTCTACAGCTCGGTGGAGTTTGGGAGGAAGTGGCAATTGGTGCATGAGCGAGTGGCTCCTAATCGTTTCTACTGGTGAGTACAGAGTTATGGACACAGTTAAACAGATTGCAGGCATAATATACTAAGAATTAGATCAGCATGGGTTTGTGTTCTATTCAACTCCATAACTATAGTGACTTACTAAGTAAAACATATGATAAAGCCTATGTATATCTTGCTGTATGCTGTTTCTTCATGAAAATAATTTGATAAAAATTATACCATTGGTTGTTGTTTTGGTCTTAAGATTTTTTCCCCCCCAAATGAATTAACTTTGAAAGTTAAGTCAAATAATTCCAGCTAAGATTTTAGAGAAGAAATGACCAACTTAGCACACATTTATTGAGATGTTACATATAGATTATACTTAGAATTAGCAGAGTATTTAAAAATTTTTAAACTAATCATGATAGCACAGATGGCAACATGTTTATTGATAACTGTTACAAAGTTACCATTATATAGTATTGTACAGTATATTTTAATGCTGTTTAAGCTAGCAGTTAGCAAATGAACCTTAATACTCAAAAGCTATAAGTATTTATATTTAATCATGTGTCAAACATCAAATAATGACTTGTGTATCAAATGATATTTCTTTTCTTTTTTTAAGATAGTCACCTTTATTACTTACAAATTTATTAATTACAGAAGACTAAATTTGCAGGCAACAGTTGTGATATCAACAGGGAAAGTCAATAGATATTTCATATACTTTCTAAAGAAGTTAAGAGAATTGAATCATGAAATTACTAAAACTTTAATATTGATAAGGAAAGGATTAATTGTCCAGCCCTAGTTGTGATTAATTCCAGGTTTTGTCATTTACAAATAGGATTTTTACATAGTTATAAAATGTCAATAAATCAGTTATAAATATATTCTGTATTTCAAGCAGGTGAACACATACCGTTGGTTTGTTAAAAAAAAGAGTGGCATCTATCAGTAAAACTAATACTTTCCAATGAACCCAAATGAAGAGCAGGACTGACACTGTGAATGTCCTGGATGGAATACGTCAGCGCCTCTAGGAGCAGTTGAGCCAGAGAGGATCTTCATTATTCATACACCTGACATGGCTGTGGCAGATGGATACATTATCTGACCGACAGTGTTCGGCTGTGGAAGGAAGCTTCGGAATCCGTTTTGGATGCAATCTCAGTATTTTTTTTTTCTTTTGAGATTAAATAAACTCTATAAAAATGGTAACAATCTAATGGTATCTCTCAGCAAGGCCTTTATACCCAAACTGTGACATTAGGCTCCCATCTGGACTTTGATGTATATTATTTCAATTCTTTCAGACAAAGACCTTTAATTATTACAGTGAAATCACTGTTACCTGGTGTTCTGCCTCTTCCTCAGCTAAACAGTCTTACCACCACACAGGTGCTGTCCAGAACTGGTATCTAGCATATTTGCTGTCAATAGAGTAACTAACACGTAACAAAAAGCTTTCACCTCTACAAACTAGGAAAGAACTGTCAGGGTAGTAAGAAGCAGGGCAGCCAGGAGTGAAGGGAGCCTGGAGGGTTGATGCTGCAGAAGCTGTCAGTGTTCTATTTTGGGATGCACACTATGCTGTAGGTGTGGTGCTAGCCCTGGTAATGAGGCTGCACAGAGAGCTTATGTGTTCCTTACATGTGGCCGCCAAACATATACGTAAGATAAAGCGTGTAAGTTCCTTTGCAATTTGGTCAACCCGAGAAGTGCTAAGCCACACAGCACAGGTTGTAAGGCACAATTCAAACGAACAGGACCAGATATAATCGTTCTGTAAGCTTTGTGTGTGAAGCCCGGAAATGTTTTGCATATGACATTACAGATCTCTGCAAAAACATCTGGAGCTGCCTGGATGTAATTATTTGTTTTTCAAGGCAACAGCTCCATCTCATGACTAAGTCCAACCCAGTGTCATACATCCACAAGACACCTCTGAAAGCCAGCATCTTAAAAGCTGAGCTTTGCCTTCCATCACACATACAAGTTTAAACAAGCTATATAGCTACACTATCTCAAAAAGCCATTCTTTGCCTGCTTCACACTGTTCTTGGGTACCTGAATGGATTATTCAGAGAAAATGGAAATGTGGTTTGGATAAGTAGGCCATCCTATTCATGGTTGGGTTTCATCTGGGAAATCACCAATACTACCAATAAGTATAATAAGTAGAAGCTAAGGTGGTCTCTCACTGTGTCTGCTCCTCATCCCCCTCTCACAGAGCCCATTTATTTCTCTTCCCATTTATGTGTACCTCCGTTCTCTCCCCCTCCATGCGTCTGCTGCCTTTGCTTCTCCTCTGATCCCCCAGTCTTCTTAATACATATTTAATACCATAATGATTATATGCTATTCCATCTGTGGGCGTCCCTACTGTAGTGATAAAATCAATGGCTTTTCCTGTACTAATGATGTCAGGAAACGTCCTCCCCCATCTTTCTGTGGGTAAAGGACTGTCTGCAGGCTCTGAACAATTAGATCACACAGTGAGCCTGAGGTCCCTTTTCCTTTACACTTTAAACTGCCATTGACAACAGAGACATAGACATGATAATTCCTGCCAATGTTTACTACAACTCTTACAGCACTTAACATAACCTCTGTGTAGTTATAAATTTGTCTGACTTTGCACAGTGCAATCTTTCAAGTCAGACAGCATCTATGGTTGGTGGCATCTGCCCGACGGCAAAAGACCTATGGTGATGTCCCTGCAATATATTTGTCTGCCTTTCAGGTCGAAAATGGGTTTGGACAAAGAGCCAGGCTTAATTCACCTGGAAACCAGCATCTCTGAAGGACGTGAGTAACTGAATTCCGAGTTCAGCACTCCTGTACAGTATTGTAGGCACTATGCTAAAGTAGAGAGGAACTGGGAGTTGTGTGGACAATTCTGCTAAGGGGTAAAGTGGAAATGGGGGTAAAGGGGTAAAGGGACAGTGGAAATGATCAAATCTGGGGACACACAATGGCAGTAATGGATACTGTATATTAGACAGCTTTCAAAAGTAAGCAATTTAGCACAGGGGCACTCTTTTAGGTATGGAGAAATATCATCCTCCTCAATGACAATGGACACTGGGATATTTTGGGTTGATAAATAGAATTTGACTTGATCTGCTTACTGAGTTTGATGTCAGAATCCTTAGAAAATGTCCATTTACAGTGGTTTTCCCCCATAATTTCTTTATTTCATTATCTTTATTTTTCTGTTCAAGAATATTGATACTTACATTTTCAGATGTTTGAATTTACAGTTAATATGATCAAATTTTAAAATTCTGTGCAAAGAGGTCAGTCTCTGATCACTGGGAGCACTACTTACCTGTAAAAACACTTTAGAATCCAGAGTTTGTGAAGCTTGTTTCATACTAGGGACTAGAAGTCCGGATAATTTAGCCTCTGTTGTTATGTTTTCAACCAGTCTCCACTGAGCCCCCTAACTGTATGGAAGTGCAACACAAAATTGATGGCATGTCCCTTTAATAATGTTGTTTTCATTTCACTTAGTTTTGAAGGATCTGTGTCATCTTTCTGTCAGCACACTGTCTTTGAGGCCAATGCAACAGAGAAAATCCAGTCATACAAACATACATAGCAAAGATCAGTTCTGTCAGATGTTACAGTCATACAACCATGGACCATCACTATTGATCATGTGTGCTTGGAAGAAGCCAACACTTATTTGGCGGAGGGTAACATGTGGTGACAGGCTCTTTCCCAGTGCTGCGACTGAAGGCACAGAAAGCAATTGGCCTCTCTGGTCATCTGTCTTCCCCTCCGCCCGGCTCCTCCCTTACTGAGACCACTTTATTGACACGAGTAATGTAGGAAGCCAAAAGAGCCCCGTGGCTCTGGGTGAAGGCTGCCTTTCTTTATTGGCTAATACTATTGCTGAAGCCATGACTTGACATGTGTCTATGTGTGTGTCTTTGTGTGTGTGTGGGAGCAGAGGCACTGTATGTCACCTGCAAGCTGCAGAACTGCACAGATGCCAACAAGGGCAAACCATTCCCTGGCTACATTGACCCCAATTCTCTGGTGGTGCAAGATGAGTATGTGTTTGTCCAGGTAGGTAATTGTCCTGTTTACACAGTGTATGAGGCAGAAAGTGTGATGATTGTGTGGGAAATTTTTCAAGGTCATTGAGGTCATAGAGACGTGCTATTATTATGTGTCCCTCTGGTGTGAATTATGCTTTATCTATTTTTTTTATTGTCTTTTTTATGTGTAAATGTTTTCACTAAATGGCTTCACCACCTTAAGGTGTCAACTGCTGGGAAGCCAATCTACTATGTGTCTGCAAAAAGAGATGTCTTCACCCCCATGAAGCTGCCCAAGTACACCCTGCCCAAGGTAACAAATGCACTGCCTGATTCAAATTACATTACAACAACTAAATACTCTTGAGATTTTGGTTAACAAAAAATTGATCCTCAGAAAGAGTCTTTATTTTATCATGAGTGAGGATAAAGGAGACAAATAGTGTTTAAATAGTGTTGTTTCTGCTGCAGTTTCTGGACATTTTCTGCATTCAAAGACATGTAGCAATAAGATTCCAGCTCTGTTTGGTACATGGGCTCAAAGTGCAGAGCTGCTGGCTCTGCATGGCTGTCTTTGTTATTTATGGGCAAATCAAGGCCAAAAGTAACTCAGTGTTGGCACAGTTGTTATTCTGTGCTGCTCCATGTGCACATGGCTTTGCTTGTCACGTCCCAATTGACAATTAAACATTCCTAGGCTCGGAGGTTGCTGTCAGCTCACTGCAAGGTGTTATTGGCACAGTCAGAGGTAGATGAAGTGCGCAACCAAACAGCTTGACCTCAGCTGCATACTCTGCCCAATAAACCTGGCATAGCATTAATGACTGCTGTATCCTCTTAGTTAAAATACATGAATACAAAAGATGTAGCAGTTCTAATTATTCAATATGATTAAGCGCGGCAGGAGTGTAAGAACAGTGTAATGATTAGAAGTTTTTTTTTTTATTATTATTTCTTATTGGGACATAAAGGATCATGTTTTTGATGCTAGGCATCAAATTAAAGCTTTACAAATGTCAATTAGAAATTAGTGAGTGTTCAGGTTATGGTTTATAGTACTGTTTTTACATCAATGCAAATATGACTTTCTTTATATTCAAATGTGTTTTTTTTGCCACCATAACATATTTCAATATGGTGGCTAAATAGATTTTTTTTTTTTAAATAAGCAGTTTTAAGAGTTTCTCCCTATAACATGTTTGGTTATAATGAACACAATCATTTACACAATTTTTAATTTTCTAATGACAGTATTTTTTTTGTTTTTCCATATCCCTACAAATTCTTCCATTTTAACAGACTGCATTCCTACTACAGCATAACAACAAATCACTTTATCTTCTTATATCACACAACTTTTTTGTTTTTATTACAGCATATATCTCATTAAAACAAGAGACTGTTGGGGGATATAACATAATTAGATGGTAAAATCTGTATCTTGTTTCTTATATATATATATCCAACGCATAGTGGCAGAATGTAAAATGCAGGCAGGAACAGAACAGCATACACTGAACAGCACAACCAAGTGCCTGGTATTATGTACAGAAACATCTGTACTATGGTTGACACCCTCCCAAGTCCAGATGGGAGACTCCTCAGAAGGTCATGGAGAATAACAGGACTGAAATCCTGTGGAACCTCTAGACATGAAGGTACTGGCCAACCAACCAGACATCATGGTAGTAAACAAGGAAGAGAAAGTGGTGATAGACAGCAACATCAAAAAGAAGGAGTATCAGAAGCTGGAGAAGTACCAGGGCCTGAAAGAGGAACTGGAGAGGATGTGGAAGGTGAAGGCTAAAGTGGTCCCAGTGGGGTGGTAGTAGCTGTGACTCCTAAACTGGAAAAGTGACTCCAACAGATCCCAGGAACAACATCAGAGCTCTCCATCCAGAAGAGCGCAGTGCTAAGTACAGCTAAGATACTAAGTGCTAAGATACAGCCTAATATTCATCAAAATGAGCCAATTTGATGAAATGTCCTATTTGCATCGTCTACAAAGTGCAATACCAAAAAGAGGTAGTACAAAAATATTCAAAAGCTTTGACCTTAGGCACATTTTTCCAAATTAAGTGTTGTGGTATAACCAACAGGATGCATGAAGTGATTTGTTAGTGAATATTTAGTTAATATTATGTACAGTATATATTCTATAACCAGAATACTGGGCTTCTATAGGAATGCTCGCCCATTTTTTCGCACATTTAATCAGTATTATCAGTCACAATCACAACAAAGCAAGGTAAAAAAAAAAGTCATACAAAGCTGTCATTATAATCCCACCCTGGTGAACCTTTGCCTCTCTGCCAGGACCTCCATGTGATCAGTACAGATGAAAACCGTGTGGTGGCAGCTGTACAGGAGTGGAACCAGAATGAAACCTACAACCTATATGTGTCAGACATGTCAGGGGTCTACTACACTCTGGCTCTGGAGAACGTGGTCAGCAGTATGGGCCCTGAGGGAAATGTCATGGTTGACCTCTATGAGGTAAGCAAACTTTGATCTGGTGGCAAGTATGATGTAATAAAATTCCCACCAAGGCAAAAAGGTGACCAGTATACCTTGTATTGCCAACGGGTGTGTTATATGCATGGTTATGTCACACTGGACATCAGGTTAAACGCCACGCCTCCAATGCTGGGATGTTTAGTTTGGTGTAAATGGTCAAAGCCACAACAAAGATGAGCCAGTTTACTGCCAGTATAGCTGAATATTTGTATTGTGCTGGAAGTAGAATGAGTCATCAGCAGAAACAGAATGATTTAGTTTTGCAATGCATGAGGCTATTTTTATTTCCAAATCTGAAGAATTTATTTTGGCCAGTTTCTTTGTTTTGAATAACAGCAGAAGCATCATACAATAAAAGGCGGCTTGATGAGCGCCCAGCCCTCAGGTTTATTATGAAGACTGATCAATATTTTAGAGCGAGAAGGCCGAGATGATGAAATGTCCTTGTTTTGTCATTTTGGAAACAAAGCCTGCTGCTGTAGGCCTACAGTATTCAGAGTACATTGTGTGAATATGAAGCAGCTTCAAAGTGCTGACATCGACAAAGGCAAAGGGGATTGTGCCAGGGATATAGATTTTTTTGGGCAACTGAGATTATTTCTTTCTTTGATGAATAACTGCAGATATTACTTCACAAAATGCACTTAATCCAAAAGGAAAAAAAAAAGTGTGTTAAGGGCTGATGTTGAGGTGCTAGAACTCATGTATGTCGCTGTGATTTTTTAAGGCATAATGACAAAACTATATCTCTGAATCAAATAATTAAGCCGTTGATGATGCTGTGGCCTCGCCAATAGAATCAAATCACTGTCTTGATTGGGGCCACCACCCAAACACAGGATATCTCCTCCAAGCAAGATTGAAGTATCTGTCAGTTATTAAAGTGGAGTTTCATTGCCTGATGTGACTGTCACTGACAGCATCCCACAGCAATTCCTAAGGGCTTCCAGCAAGAAGTCACATTCATTTAAGACACACATTGATTACTCACAAGTCCTCAGACAGCCGATCATTTCCCACCCAGTGTTTGTGGCACTGTTTGCTTTTGTTGGGAATACAGAAGAGGTAAGCATGCATAGCTGCGTTGCCCTAGGGCATGTGATTTGCTTTGCGGTGAGCTGCATTTATTTTCTGCAACGTGACTTGAAGATATGGAAATGCTTAATAGCCTTTGGTCATGTAAAGCCTGCATATATTTTCATTTGGAACTGAGAGCTGTTCTTTTTCTAATTTTCCAGATAGCGGGAATAAAAGGAATGTTCCTAGCCAACAAAAAGACAGATAACCAAGTAAAGACATACATCACTTACAACAGAGGGAGAGACTGGAGGTTACTGCAGGCCCCGAGCAGAGACCTGAGAGGCAATAGCATTCACTGTGTGCTAGTGAGTATATGCAAGCACGCCGCGTTCATGCATGTTTTTTAAAGTGTGCACTTCCAGTAGCGTGAGGCTCGGACAGGAGTCGACTGATCCCAGCACCACTGCGAGGCTGAGCTCAGAAAGAGCAGTGCCTGTCAAAGCTGAGTGCTCTGAGGCTGCTGAGCTGAAAGGTCAGCCATTTTGATTCAGTCCAATAAGCTGACCTCTCATTTAAGAAACACAGAGAGAAAGAGGTGTCGGACAGAAAATGTTTCTTTTTTTATGTCTTTCTTCCTGAAAGCCCCTGAAAGTTGAGTGCTTCTCAGAGTCTAGTTGGGTTGAATTTTCACTCAGTAGCCAAAGTTCAAAATTTAATATAAAGACTTGATATATCTTTTTAAATACTAACTTGAGTCACCCCATACTAATATGTACTTATTGTAAATAAAAAAGTAGCCAGGCTAAGATGAGTGAAGATTTGATGGTTTCTGTCACTGCTGCATATTTTAGCATATCATCTGCAAGATGCATTAGCATCTCATACAGTAACATGACTTTAAATACAAAAATAATCACCCTTTTTGATAAACCAATTAGTGGTTCTGTAGCATGCCTCACCTTCTACCCATATTATACAGTCATTTGTTAGGAAATGTCAGAGTTTTAATAAACCTCTAAACAGCCAGTCACAACACGGCCTGCACCACTGGCATTTTGCTCAGTCGTAATGAGAATTGTGTCAGTAAAGGTTAACCCAATCAATATTAATGGTGAAACCAGCCAATAGGGAAATGGTGTTTATGATAAAACCTAGGACTTGGGAGAGTTGTAGATTCATGTTCACGCAATAGTCATTTTATTTAGAAGCATCTTTTGAAGGTTGTTTATTTCTGGTACGGTTGGCTTGGTTTGATAAATGAGTTTATGATTTGTGCTCTGCAGCCATACTGCTCATTACATCTCCATCTTCACGTGTCTGCAAATCCCTACACATCTGGAAACATAGCCAGCAGGGATTCAGCGCCAGGGATCATTGTCGCATCAGGTGGGTAAGAGGGAGACTCGTCTGAGTGACATGTTGTTTCTGTTTTCTCTTTTCTTAACTGAATTATAAATGGTTTAGTTAAAAAAAAGCCCCTGTTGAAAGCCTTTGTGAACTTTGCCTTATCTATTACATGATAATTAATACTGACATTCTTTTTAATTCTTGGCTGATAGAATAAAATGTCTACTAGGTGCTCACAAAGGTGCTGGATTAATAGACTTGCATTTTATGATAAAAAAAAATGCTACAGTCAATCTCAAACAACAAATGTTAAGTGAATGCATCTTATAAAGATAATCAAATATATTGTGAATTGCATGATTTGTTCAAATTTCATTCATCGCAAGATGACAAAGGAGACATGAAAAGATCCATCTGCTTTTCTCCACTGATGGTTGCATTAGATAGGGGTATGCTAACCTGAAGCGACAGAGACCACAAAAATCACTTACACAGGCAACACCAGAGGAAATCTGCCTCCTACAGTTAAGTTAACATCTTGGCATTCAACATTTCTTTGCACTGATGTTTCCAGTACGGCCCTGCAGCTCTCAGTGCTAAATTTTATTGTTATTAAAAGAAATTGCATTTGCATTTGTTTGCAGTTTTTTTACTCTTTTCTTTTGTTTTCAATTATTTGTCCCTGCTCAGCATCAGTATACAAATCCCACAGGCATCTGACAACATGTAGGTGTCAGCTCACATTTGAATGGAACAAATGACAGGGTTACAAAGTCAGAGCACCAAAACCTGTATATCCCAGTGGTTTAGCCCAGAGAGCATCATTGTTTCTGAGAACACAAGAGAGGAAGCAGCGACTTATTGACTCAGTGTGGAGAAAAGAAAAAAAAAGTGGAGGAATATGAGATCAGCAGGCCCCCAAGTGAATTCACACCTCAGTGATATTTACTCCTGCATGGACCAGCACTGTCAATAACACACCAGCAGATGCCTTGGGGGTCTGGAGAAGGCCGAGCTTACAGTGAAAGTGTGGAGTGTGGGTGTCTGGACCTTTTGTGAAACATAGTGAATTAAACAGGTTTTGGGCATGTGCGAATAGAACAATCAACCAATTTACCCTGATCACATACTGCATATCAAGCAACAAAACACCCAGAACAAACAAAGGAATTCTTAATAATTAGCCTGGAAAATTACCATTATTTCTGTGTAATTGTGGCTTTTCTAGACAGCTGAGAATACATCCCCAACTAATCTATAAAATCCCTGTTTCCCCATTCTTCCTGCTAATGCGTCACATCCTATCCAGTTCTGTCTTCTTAAAACTATGTTTTTTTGTTTTGTTTTATTCAGCAGCTTTTAATACTGTAACTCCAGGTTTATTGCCTTCTTGGTAGTGCATCCTACCACACAGTTGCTTTTAGGCATCTTTCAGTTTTTTTTGTAAAAAGATTGAATTTTCAAAAAACACCTTTTTGTAATACAAAGTCAGTGGAGAGAGAAGAATGGGTTCTATGCACGTCGCACGTCTGTGTTTACGTGAGGCAATCTGCAAATTTCCAGTCAACGAGAGAAAGCCAGCTGGAGGAGATTTGGAAGATGACATAATTGTTGAACTTCACCAGCTGTTTACTGGAATTACCAAAATATAGAGGTAAAGCTGCAGCATCCCAAGCTACATAGTGACGCTACATAATCCACATTTAGGACAAAAAGATATAATGTGTCATAAATAGCAGCTTTTCTACAGAGTAAACACAAAATTAGCCTACATAATCAATACCATCATTTCTAGAACAAATATTTTATGTAAATCTAGCTAACAATGTTGAGGAAACGACATTTAACTTGTGTAAAACCGAATCAGAAGCAGAAAATTGCTCCAAGCCAAACTTATTGCTGATAGCTATTTCCTTTATTTGTTTCTGTAACTTCACCATCTCTGCACAGAGACCTTCAGTGTGATCTAAGGTGAGATCGAGTGCTGCAGGCTCAGTAGTGGAGCAGTGGATCCTGTGATCTACATTCACTGAGGGATCCTTATTATGAGCTGTGTCGGGCAGTAGATATGGTCGTTCTTTCCCTTTGCCAAACCTTGGACTGTGAGGCAGGTGGGGTCAAGTTATTCCACTGAAAAAGAGCTGTGACGGCCCCATTTTTCAGACATCTATGTATGTCTAGCTGGAGTAACAGGCTCGATCAGGTCTGCAAGTCTCGGCTGCAGACTCTTATGAGATTGGTAATGGTGTATATAGCCAAACCCCCTCCTAATTCAGAGTATGACTCATTGCGCTCTGTCTCTATAGTGACGTGTAGTGACATTGGCACATGCCTCAACTATGAATATTAAATGTTGGATTTCAAAACAATTTTTGCTATTGTGACAGCAGAAGTAACTTTGTAACAAGTTCTTCTTTGAGGGAGTAACAAATATTAATACTGACATTTTATCTGTAACTCATTACTGGGCAAAGTAATATTATTACAGTAATGCTTTATGGCCCAACACTGTCTGCAGTGAGAACATCAACCACTGGATGTCAACAAAGCCATGATTTTCAAACTAGGGGGCAACTGTGCCTCTCAAACACTCACAGTACTTTCCAGTCTCATGTTTAACCACCTGGCACCAGTTACAGGCTAAATTAAAGCAATTACGGCAGTCTGTGCAGAATTAGAAAAGCGTGTCTTAATGTGGTCAGAAATGCTGAGAGATAAATATGGCAATCTGCATATTATTGGTTAATTTAGGGCTATGAGCAAATATCACACTGCACAGCAGATCCTCTGGAGCACTGCAGTTGCAGCCTCATTCAGCAGCTGTGGACTGGAGCCCATTGCTGTGTCACCGCTGCTGGTCTAAAGGCACTTTATAAAATTTGGGATTTGTTTGATATCAAACCGAATTGATTTCCAGTGTTGGAATTATGCACTTTTCTTACCCCAAACACTTACCGTAGTTTATCTTCTTTGTGTTCTGTGGCCTGTTGTCACACCCACAGGCTCAATTGGCTCAGAGCTGACCACCAACAATGTCAGTGTGTTTATCACCTCGGATGCTGGAAACACATGGAGGCAGGTGAGGGTACTTTATTTTAAAAGTGTAATAATGCCTTATTGTTAAAGTTAAACTGAAATTTGAATATCCCTCACTTGTTTGTGGCATATGAAAATATTACTATAATAACACTGCAGCTATTTTGCATATTTTTAAAAGATAAAACAGCTTTCTGGAAAATATCTGTAGAGACACTACAGTATATACCTTCAAGTCAGTGGATGGACATTTCCCGTGGCAGCAGTTGACTGACATTTGAGAGCCAGTGTTGCTAGGAAACAGTTTTAACTTTTGTGCTGCCCTACTGACTGGAGAATGTCAAACTTTATAACCTGAAAACATGACACAAGGCACTTCCCCCCTTTTCCAGTAGGCTCACATAGTTTTATTTGTGATTTATTTCACCTCCTTCTTACAACACTGAACATCTGGGAGGACCCATCATTGATAGGTTTGCACAGTATATCACTGTGGAGGCCAGCGAGCTAGACTGACTAGCTGCCACTCAGCAGCATGATGCAAATGACCAGACTGGCTCCTCCTCAACCAGTCTTTCCAAAACCTTTTGAACTTCTCTCTTTAGTTGTTGCTAATTAAACAGAGCCATGAAAGCTAATCATTTGGAAGCTGATTCAGTTGTATACTGTGTTTGTTGTGTGGTGTGTTATTACTTTGCTTACTTGAATGATAAAGCGTGGGTGTGTGCAGACGTGTGTTAGACCTGTAACAAGCCTCTGCACAGTGAGCATTCTCTATTTTTTGTCCCCGCAGATCTTTGATGAGGAGTATGCAGTGCTGTATCTCGACCAAGGAGGAGCCTTAGTCGCAATAAGACACACTCCGCTTCCCATCCGCCACCTGTGGTGAGTCATTATGACAGAGACACCATTTGTCACAGCGTGACTAATTCCCTTAGAGGAAGCTCGGAGTCTTAAGTTAGCCAAACAAAGCAAGTGAGTTGGTAAAAACGGCAGGATGATATTATTCTAGTTGGAAAACATGCCAGCCATGGAAAATTTGGCTTTCACAATTGTCATTCAGTTTCACCTTTCTGTGTGCTCACTGGGCAGAGTGCCGCAGCTCTGAATATGAAATAAAGTTGTTAGACAACGCTCAGGGTCATTAGCTTGTGCACACAGTCAGGGGATTAGTCTTGGTCCCTTGTGCAACAGCTATTTGCATTTCTAGGTTGAGCTTTGACGAAGGACGGCAGTGGAACAAGTACAGCTTCACCAACACGCCTCTGTTCGTGGACGGAGTGCTGGGAGAGCCTGGGGAAGAGACTCTCATCATGACGTGAGTGGCAAACATTTGCTAACATGGAAAGTTATCAATTGCACTGAAATCAAAGTAACAGCAAATAGCTGCTTTGTGCGCACATGCTCCCATCTGCCTTAACCTGGGCCGGTGCTGCTAGCATCTGTATCCGGGCCTGCTCCATTCAGCATTCCTGAGTGCCTGCTTTGCTTTTCATGAATAAAAAAGATTTCTCTCAAGGTCTGTCCAACATCAAAACTGGCTGTTTCCAGATTATGATCACAGGAGATCAATGCCTTGGTAGCCAGCGACAGCGGCATCTTCCATTTGAAGAACATGAAGGAAGATGATCAAAACTACCTGAGAAAACAGACAAGACACTTTGATTTAAAAAGTTTTTAACAGCTTATAAAAAAGAGCAGTGAGTATGACTCAACATGTCCCCAGAAAGCAGATGTATAGACTCTTGTGTTCTTTTACATTTATTACTAGAATAGCCCAGAGCTATAGTGCATGCATATGGTACGACACAGCATTACTCCATTATTGCAGCAGAGATTTTGAACTTTGGGATGTTCTACCTATGGGTTTCCACAGCCGTTACATCAATGTTTCATGACACCTGCCATAAATGACAGACTGGCAGTCAGCTCTGTTGTCAGCTCTGCAGGAGAGTGATAGGGCACAGCTGGAGCGACAGAGAATAGGAAAATGCACAGCAGTAGTGTCAGCGAGAAGACAACAATTGGAGAGAAGGGGCAGTGTAAAGACAATGCTGGCAGGTTTACACTGAGAATAAGTCCTCAAGCACGGAGCCTCTCAGCTGGCAGACATCGTTAGTTTTCATAAGACCATCATGCACTGTTTTCTTATCAGTTTGTACTCATTTTACAGTAAGTGCCTGTCACAGTCCGGTGCCTCGAGAGCTAATTGGCAGATTGATTGTGATAAATATGTTATGGTATGAATGGTGAGGGGGGTCATTACAATGAAACACACCCACTCAGTTTGGCTGGAGATGGAATATTTATGGGGTTAGAATCATAACCTTGGATTCAGTTTTGTTTGTGACCATTGGAAAGATATGCATATTCATTCTGATTAATTTATGCTTCCAGAAGAAATTAGTTTATGCTTATTAGTTCAAGTTTGCCATCCAAACTAAGTTAGAATGTAAAGATTCCTCATTATATCTCAGGATAAGGCTGACACATTGCTATATTTATTTACTGCTAACAAATTCCATGTAAGCGCCATGAGCATAATCACAGCGCTGCATGCCCTTCCCTCTCATCCTGTTTTCCGTCTCACTACCCTGACTCTTGAATAAAAACAATGTGCCTTTTAGATGTCCAAATTGGGGACTGCATTCATTTCTGTAATTTTCTGAATGTAAGCAGGTGTTGAACTTCTCTCTGATGCTTTCATTTCATACCAACAGGTTTTGTTGCATTTCATAGGTACAAACAAATGCAAGACTAAAAAGGCCTTCTAGGAAGGACCAAGAGAATAATCTCAGATGAGCAATCATTTCTTTGTTCTAGTTAGTTATGCCAAATTTGCTCATTTCTAGCTGATAACTACTTTTGCTTTCAGTTCTTTTGTAGTTTTACCATAAGGTGCATTTCCACCAAAAAGTTCCTGGTACTTGCTAAACTTTCCCTGGGGTCTAAAAGTCCCTCGAGCACATTATAATTAGTGCTGTAGACCCAGGAGGTTTAAATAAATAATAAAAGTGTGACAATCACAGTGAGGTGTTAGGAATGCTATGTGTAAAATGTTGCATGATACTTGACCAATCAGCAGTGTTCAGCACTGCGACTTCGCCCCAGTAATTCTTGGACCTGAAAATGCCCCATGAATAGGGACTATCTTTGGGGGGGCAGAAGTTCTGCCCGGAGCTAAATTCGACACTGGTTCCTCCAGTGAAATGCAGGTGGAGGAACTGCTATACATTCAACAAAAGGTTCCTGTTGCCTGGGGAAAGTTACTTTGGTGGAAACTGGGCTATGTTTGTTTGTTTGGCTTTACACTGTAGTAGTAATCACAATTTTTGTGGATGATTTATGTGATTATCCTCACAGAAAATTTTAATGTATATTTCTATTTTATTTTTTCTTTGCTTTATTTTCTTTTCCACTGCCTAAGTTGGAATTTTTTGTTGTTGTTGTTTGTTTGTTTGGGTTTTTTTTATTTCCAGGAAAGCCTCCCATATTTAAACCATTACTGCACCCCCCTCTGTGACAGCTGGCTTTACATCCCATTGTCAGGTGTAGTGAACATTTGTTAAAACTTTTGTTTTCAACTTTTGTCAGGTTAAACATTATATAATTGTATGGATGATTTTTAGCACAACCCAGTCCTCTCTTGATACTCTCCCCTTTCTGTGGCACTGAAAGGCACATCCACATTCTACTACATACAAAAAAAATGAATGTGCTGTCTTTTCTCAGCAAATGTTTTTTTTTTTAAACTTAATAAATAAAAAGGATTCAGTAATTTCCATACATGTGGTCACTGTAATCAGTAGCAAACTTTAAATGTAGTGATCGACTTAAAAAAAATGACAGTGCTCTTGTTCAATATAATTATGGCACATGTGTCCCAGTGCAGTAATGGCTCCGGACAAAATGGGCATCTGTGACACAGAGCAATACTTTGGGAGGATTTGTTTTTGTTTTTGGTACTTGTGGAATTTGTTCATAAGAACTAGAATTACTGCCTCGCAGCTGTATGCCTCCATGATCCAGTCAGGTTGCAGTTTACATGCATGTCTGTCCACATTCATATAATATGTGTAGTGAGAACTTTGAAGAAATTTAATACATGAAGTGTATTTTTTAGAAAATTATCACTATATTATTGTAATGCATATGATATCAGTGAATAATATCCAGTGACAAAGTGCTATCTTCACTTAGAGATTTGTCTTTTGAGTCTAAGAGGATAATTTTGATATCAGGTTCATGAAAATGGGACAGATGTGAGGTCACAGTGACCTTGACCTTAGGCTGCCAAAGTCTAATCTGTTTATTCTTGAGTTTGAGTGGATGTTTGATGTTTGAAGAAATTCCCTTCAAGTTTTTCTGAGATATTGTGATCATAAGAATGAGACAGACAAACAAAAACTCTGCGACTGGCGAGGACATATACCACCAGCCCTATATTTAAACACCATTTCAGTGTGATTATTATCTGTTGCATGTTTTGTACATAACAAGAGAAGCATCGTGGCTGTTTTTTTTAGGATATTTGGCCATGTCAGTCATCGCTCGGAGTGGCAGCTGGTAAAAATTGACTTCAGGTCCATCTTCAACAAGAGGTGTACAGAGGCGGATTATCAGACGTGGCACCTACACAACCAGGTACGATTCATGCCAGCACAGAAATAAAGACTGGATTTGCTTATCACACATACTAAAAATGTGTTTCTAAGTTGGAAGAGAATCTACATCTAAAGCTCCAGTCCAAGAAAATCTTAAACTGCACTTTCTATCCTTTATTGCAGAGGGTTAATTGGATTGAATTATATAGTTACAAATTTTAAAATCAATCTTTATTGTAAAATTAATTTCCAGTATATTTTTTATTTAGCTTGCACTATAGTTTATTTCTTTTCAGTAAATTTATTTCCATTATAACAAACAATGATTTACTCTATAGCGAGTAAATTTGCCTTTAAAGTGTTTATGATTATTTCGCACCATCACGGGGAAGGTTGTACAATTATTATTATTATTATTATTTCCTAGCCAGGGATGTAGACTTCCTGGAGCTGTGATGTCTCTCATGGTCAGGTTCATGCAAGTCATGTGTTCAGTTAGGTTTTTTTCAGGGTTATTACATGGACCCCTCAGATATTATGGTAAAGCTCATTTTAAAACTGGTTAAAATATTGTGCACACTATGACTGGTATGGGCAGATTATAAGTCACACATCAAAGGTCCTCCCTGATAGTGTATGCAATGCTAGGCCAGTGGTCATTTCACATCTGTTTTGCAGGGTAACCATAACCTGGTTGCTGATGCTATTGAAACTGAACTTAGGCTCATGCTGTAGATGAAGCGAGACTGTCAGATCCATGCAGACACAGCTCCTCAAATGTCATACTATATACAAAATTATACTACACTATACAAAATATTATAGGAAGGTAAGACTTTATTTTGGGAGATACTCAACAGATTTAGGATTAGTGTGATGAACAAAAGAACATTATCGGGGCATGCCTACCTTTGCCTCTTTGACATCTGAACAACAAAGGAGCATGACCTTCAAATAGAGGCTCTGGTTTAGTGGCCTGAACCTTGGGGGCCCAGGACCTGTGCCCAGAAGGCCCATATAGAATTCCATCCTTTATCACAGACAGGTGCTGTACTGGATAACCTTGGTATGTCTATCACTTCCTTATTCTATCATTCACTACCCCATATCTAATAGATTATCAATATTTCACTGTATAATAAGCAGTAAATAGATATTTCAGATACTTATGAATGATCATGTTTTTGCCCCATCCTTGACAGATGTGGTCTTGCATGATATAAATTTTTTGCATATGCAGTATAGTGTGAATTATTTAGTAAATTGGCATAGTGCCTTAAATACACAGATCTGTCAACAGCAGACATCACTAGAAGTAGTGTGCATGCCATGGACACCACATTTTTTATTCCAGAGTGGGAATTTTATATAGTGCATATGGAATTCAGGCACTGAAATATAAATAAATGGCAGAGTGTAAATATAGTGCACTAAATTGCGCACAGGGAGTAATTTTAGATGAACCCTATGTGTCAGCGCTCTTAGCCCTCCACTCTGCTGCATAAACAAAAGGCCAAAAGCAGGTTAAAGTTTCAACTTAATCAACTGTTATTTAAAGATAAAATGCCTATTCTTAATGTGAAAATCTAATTTTCAAACATCTGTGGCGCTCGTCTTCTCTGTAGCACTACTTCTTAAACTTGAGTCGACAGGGTAATGCGTGATCACTGGCTGACCACCTCTGCTTTTCTTCTGGCCGTGTAGTGTGTGGACTAAAGTTGGACGTCTCTCAGCTCCCAGAGCACTTATGCAGATTCTTCATTCCTAATGATGCTCTGAGTGAGCCCACCCCACCCACCTGCATACATTAAACCTGCCCGAATACCCCTCAACCTGTCCAGGCCTGAAGCCAAGTCAGAGACTTAGAGCGCTCCTTTATTCACGGCCCAGTTCAGTAATTGGCTTAGACACCCATATGCTCAGAGCTGGCTAATGATCAAAACATATAGGATGGAAGAGGACAAGAGCCCAAACCAATTACAGGGCTAACCTGCTTAATGTAGAGGTAGTGGAGTCTAGGTCTGCTACAGAGATAAACTGACCAGCACCTCAGAACAGGGCATGGTGTTTGTGTTTTAAGACCACTGGGAAAGTTAAGCACATTTTCAGGATCTGGGAGTCTATTTGTGGATACAACCCGATTTTTTGAGCATCTCACTACTGACACCTAATGCACAAAGACAGAATGTTCTGGTAACAAAAAAGAAGAGCAGTGTAGGGTGAAAAAGGCTGGTGTTGTCTTCTCATCTTCTTTTTTTTTGTACTCCAGCTGATTTTATATTCTCCACATAGATACATGGCTAAAAATGGACTGAGAGCTGGCAGTTTTTGTGACTGAAGATCCTTCTTATTCGTTCAGCTCAATATCAAAATAAAAATTCTAAAAATGAACTCAAGCAGCACAGTCTCCAGTGTGAAACTTGCAATGGAGGAGCAGTTGTTGAGTTTAGCACACCACACAGCTCGAGCCTGTAAATATTCCCTGAACAGGAATGCACAACAAGCTGAAGTAAAGCAAGGCAGCAGTGCTTTTCACACACAGTGATACACACATGGTTGGTTGCATTGTGTAAATTATTTATGATGGCAGGCGTTACAAAAGCAGCTCGTTTTTTAAACTCTCTCTGTGTGACTCTCCTCCCGCTTCTTGTTTGAAATCGGGCCCTCAGGGTGAGCCGTGCCTCATGGGAGTGAAAAGAATCTACCGGAAGCTGAAGCCCACGTCCAGGTGCGTTATGGGAAAGACTTATTCTGTGTCGATGACTTCAGGCCCCTGCGACTGCACAGAGGCTGACTTTGAGTGGTGAGTAAAATTTTCTCTTTGTTTAACCATCTCATATTCAGTCCCATTTCCACGCAAATTAAAGGAGAGCTCCCCTAAATTTTAAAAGTCAAGTCATGAGAAGTTTACTAGTCACGAGTGCTACTCAGCCTGTCACAACAGCTGTGTAATCTTTTCTTCAGCTTTGGAGGGAGCTTTTTAAAATCTGAGAAGATAAACTTGACATCACTGACATTATCTCAGCTCAGGTTCGGAGACTGCAAACTTAAAATGTGAAGTCTGGGTTACAAACTGGAGCATGAAGGAACTTTTTACCTGCATTATGGGAAATGTAGAATGTAGAGTTTTTATTTCTTGACTTAAACTGGAGACCAAAAGTCAGTCCTTCCATTTGATCGATTTTATATTGATATTTATTTAGTGAGTGCCTCCAACTTTAACTTTGAAGTCCAACATTAAATTGCCAGAGCTTTCTGTTACAGTATATATCTGCGCAAGCAGTGGATTTAAATTCCAAGATTGTTTGGAATGAGTTAATTTTCTGAACAAGATGAAGGCAAACATTGTGCACTTTCAGATAGTTTGATGTTAATTTGAGCAAAATTCTTTTAATTCCCAGTTTCAACCTAAATCAGACATACATTTTACATGATCTGTTAAGAGACTGTGTCAGTGTGTCTCCTTCCCCATGTAAGTACTGTACTGTATGTTGTTAGTTCCCTGGTTTCCCAAGTACAAGTTTCTGCATCCAACTCTATCAGAATGCACTTAAATTGATCTTTTACACTTTTAGTACAGGTGAGTATGCTTTATTCTGCTACATTTACTCATGGTGTCTCGCTTGCTACAGGCTGTTAGAAGACAGTAGAGGAATTGATTTGAATTAATATGTAGTGTTGGACCAGTACACTGGCTGAGTCTTTCTAACACTGCAGTAACAATGAGTGTCACAGAATCATTTCACTACTGGTGTGACAAACAGCTCAGTCTGAGAAATGCATAAATTAAACTAACACATACAGTATATTCCAGTGATACGTTCAGGTTGTGTAACCCTACATGTTCCAACACACTTTGAGCTGTGTGAACAATTTTAAGTTAAGAACAAAGAAGTAAAGACAGACAGGCCCCGCTGAACCTTGGTACATTACGTTACAACAGAAATATAACTGACTACCATCATGAGTTATTGCACAAAACACAGGATAAAGTAAATGCAAAAATCTTTATGCATTTAGAGAAAAGGAGCCAAGTCATCTAAATTAACTGATCGTAGGAAATAAGAACAACCAGACCATCGCATGTGCTAATTGTTAAAAGTCTGCAAACAAGTGTTATAGTGTTATTTTTTACATTTGCACACTGTGGGATCTTTAAAAAATATGGGGCATGTCATCATTTGAAGCATATAAAACAAAAGTTCAAATATTGAATAATAAAGGCTGAGTTTTAACCACAGTATTTCTCATGAATGCACCATTGAGTTTCTGCTTTATCATTTGTAGAATTACATTTTTATATGTCCCAGGGTTTAAGGAAACTGGGTTGACGTGAGGGATTAAAGGATAAGAGATCACCATCATGGATAACATCCTCCAGATTATAATTGCAGAGCAGCTCTGATAGATTCTCTTGGAGACTGCAGCTGCTAAATGAAAACCAGTCAACTGTTCAGACACATACCTGTGTGTGTGTGTGTGTGTGTACTTGTATGAGTGTCTTTGTGAGAACTTTTTAGAGTTTAATACCATGGCAGAGAAGATATTTTGGGAAAGTGAGCACATTTTGACCCATTCTCATCTTGTGACACCTTCAAGGGGCTGTTTGAAGGTTAAGGCTTGGCTTTAGGTTTCGGGTTAGAATTAGGTTTAAGTAAAGGCTGGGGTTAGGCACTTAGCTGTGATGATTCAGGGTTAGGGTAATGGGCTAAAAATGCATTATGTCAGTGAGTGTCCTCACAAAGATAGACCTACAACTGTGTACATGGAGGCAAGTGTGTGTATTCATTACCAGAGATTCAGCTGATTCCTCCTGACTGTGTGCCGTTGTGCACCGCTTGAAGGACAAAGCATTCAGAGGAAAAATTGATATCTCTCAGTTGCATTTGTAGTTGCTGCTGGAGACTCATTATATTACAGCTGCAGTTCCAGAGAATGTTTTACCACAATCTTGCAACCAGCTCACTTTGAATTATCAGCACAATGAATGTTCTGTCTTTTTTAATTAATGCATTTTTTTTTTTTTTTGCTTTGGTCCCAAATCTGCATGTCTCTTGAGTGAGGCACCTCTTGGAATAAGCACCATCAAAACCATAAATCACCAGGCCTAATAGCTTTCATTAACAATCACAACACTTTTGCATCTGTGTGCATGTCACACTAATTTGGGCGATTTGTCCTTATCATTTCAGGGACACTGCTGCTTTGCCTTTTAATTTGTAGGACAAACAACCACATGGGCTACATGTAATACGCCTCTCCAGGGGTATATAATGTACAGTAGCAGTTGCTGTAACTACTATAAAGTCTATACTGAATACAGCGCATGTTGTTTTACACAATTATGTAACAGAATTTCACGAATAATGTCCATTGTATCTAATATAGAGAGCAGGCCATCTTTTTCAGCTGAGGATATTTTATTAGCTTTTAAGCTTTCTCTGAGTGTTATCAGTCATTTTATAAGTACATGTCACACTTGAAATTGTATCTCAATTTACAATTGAATTTTCTAAACAGAACCTCAGGAATAATTTCATCTGTTATGTCTGCCAGCGTTTCCTCTTTGGTTCTTGATTGGATAACCACTTCTGTTTGTTGGATTGTTACAGTGACTATGGCTATGAGAGACGGACCGATGGCAAGTGCGCCCCCGCATTTTGGTTCAATCCATCATCCATGTCCAGGAGTTGCACCACAGGGATGACATTCCTTAACAGCACCGGGTAAACATAGGACAGGACGAGAGCAGACAAGAATCAGTACACTGTCTCAGTAGTGACTCACAGGCATTGGCTGAAATGAATGGGGCATTTACTGAAAGCTGAACAGCTCAGGGTGCATTCATTTGTTTCTCAGGGATAACAAGGACAGGCTGAGGGAAGACATGTTGTGTTTCAGTGTGCAGGATGTAGTATGGCTCTTCCTTACAAACAGGCACAGTAGTTCTTTTGAATATCAAAAGACAACCATTCACCTCAGTTTTAGCCTGCATGGGCTAATGAATTGAGGGATGAAATTTAGCTTGGTCATTCCACCAAAAAGCCCCAAAAAACAAATAATATAAATTCTGTGGTTTCCTCCGTGACACAGTGTAATGATTTTCTATTCTAAATAGAACTGAAGGACTATGAGAAATTACTGTGTTTGTGTATGATAGAGGTTAGTAACTTAACTGTAGTTTGTGCTTTCTACATCTGTATGAACGTACAATCAGCCATATTTACATGTAAAAGCTTCCTGTGATGTTCCACCCCCAGCTATAGGAAAGTGGTCTCAAATAACTGCACAGCTGGAGTCAGTGTAGAGTACACAGCCAGAAAGCAGCAGTGTCCGGTCCAAGCACCAAAAGGTCTCCACCTGGTCACCAGTGAGGGCACGCTGATGGCCACATTAGGCACTAATGTCACCTTCCTTGTTTTTCTGGAGGAGGTAAGCTGTTTTCCACATTCTCCAACAGCCTCATGGACTGTCAGTAAATGTCACCATATTCACATTGAAAACAGGAGTACAGCCTGAGTTAGAAATATTTTTGACATAATTTGCCATTACATACTGTAAGCTAATTGCTTTATAATGCTGTATTTCTTTTCCTCAGACTGGCACATTGAAGCAGAAGTGACACATTCTGACAGAAAGCACTTGATCACTTTCCTGTTTAGCTCTTAACTGTTAAAAATATACAGTGAAATTGTGCTTGGCAGGTGTGCCTGCTGTTTGGTCACACTTTAGCAAACATCCCCAGAATAATTAGTTTTGATGGACACATAACAGTTTGGCTCAACTCTATATTATCTTCATACTCAAACCAGTAACTCATTATATTGGTATACTAATGGCTACAAAATGGTGCCTGAGCAGGTATATAATATAAAGACTTAAGAAGATTTTAAGAGTCAAAAATCCCCACAAACAGCCATTGCAGCTTCTCACACCCAACAGGACTGAAGTGCTTTGTGTTACAGCCCCCAAGAAGTCAGGGGCAATGGGTTTAACAACATAATTAACAAGAAAAAAGTTCCATTTTAAACATAGAATTAATTAAGACAGGTGTAAAGCTTAAATAAACTAATGGGAAAAAAAGCACGGAACATAAAAACTTAGAAAGCAAAACAAAGCTCTTCCTTACAAACAGGCTCAATAGTTCTTTTTTGAAGTCCCAGCTGCTTACATGTGGCCGTCCATCACAGGCTGAATCAGGTCCAACCTGAGCAGAGAGAGCAGCAAAAGAATGGCCACACCCCAGGCAAAGGGGGACTAATAGAAAAGAATAAAAAGAAACCGGATGGTTTTATAAAATATCGCATCAAAAGAAAAAATAAATAAAACAACAACTAAAATTAAATTTGATAAAGGAAACAAAAAAGTAAATTAATTAATTATGAAACTCAAGGAAAACATAGAGGAGGAATCAAACAAGAAAGAACTGTTCATGCTAATTATTTTTGTTAGCTTACTGATGCTGAAGGAGCAGGATTTTTATAGTTACATTTTCATTTAATTAAATACCAAGAATTAGTGATTTCCAGTGATAAGGCAAGAATTGTATTTAACATCATATTTGTTGCTGTCAGTAAGAATCATTCAGCTAGATTTACTGACAGAAAGTTGATTGAAAGAAAGTTTGTTAAGTCTAAAGTACTTAGTGGACACATTTATCTCAAGGCTTGTTCATGGTTTCTGCAGACACTCGCTGACTGTGGAAGTGCTTCTGATCAGACTGCATTCAGGTGTGTGCATATGTAGACATATCCCACACAGCAGAAAGCACGATGGCTGCTCCTGTCTGCTGCAATTGGCTAAACAACAGAAAAACAGGAAAACAGTGCGTGCAACTGCTTAACAAGCACAGGACCAAGGATGTCATAAATTGTACATGCATGCGCAGAGGAACCATCCAGTGTAATTGTGTGGCACACGTGAGTCAGTGTGCTCACAGTGCAGTCAGTCCACGAGGACTCACAGTTTGGCTCCACATGGACCCTTGCAGACTTGGGCTGATGACAAAATGTAGGTTATGCAGACACATGGACGTGTGAAGTATGAATTGGCCTTTAGGTACCATACTGTCATCAGCGCATAACTTTTTGGCATAAAGACCACAGCGACAAGCACAGTGACCAGTGAAATTGTCAAGCTTTACCAGTTTGAGTTCAGTATAATTGAAAACCTGAGTAAACCTGTGGGTGATGAAGGGCCCATACCTTCAGATTTGCTGAAACTGTTTGTGTGCACAGGGTGACGGGGCAAGGACAAGCATCACCCTGGACTTCGGAGACGGCCATGCTCTGACATATTCCAACGTGAGCTCAATTGAGGATGGAATCAAACACATCTATAAAGCTGTGGGAATCTACCGGGTGACTGCCACTGGGGAGAACAGTCTCGGTTCAGAGACTGCCATGCTCTACCTGCATGTAACATGTGAGATACTGAAGCCTTTTGTAAGATTTGCATATACAGGTGTGCTTGTGCGTTTACTGAGATAGGAGTTTCTTCAGGTTTTGTGCTCTTTCTGTTTTCCCCTCTTTATCGCATTCAGTGGAATTGCGGCTGTCAGCTTGCACACAATGTACCCAGTTCTATACTTTATCTTTTCACAGAACATAACCAAGCAAACAAGTGAGATAGAACAAATCCCATTACACTTCCACTCAAGTCGGCTTATGCTTCATAGCCACTCAGCCCACGGAAGCCTCTGCGGCCTCGCATGTAACGACGCTGACCACCCCTGGTGTGACAGATGTAACTGAGCTGACTTATTGATTAGGGAGTGCTGTTGCTCCCACCAATCTGTCAATCCTGTGTGCCAGCCATACAAATAGAGTCACGGCAGGCTCAGGAGTGCCACAGATGAAAAATAACACACAGATGGCAGCCAACGGGCCCAGAGCAGGAGAGAATTCTGAACAAATTCAACTCTCTCAGCACCTATAAACCTACTCTCCTTCTTTTTTTTTTTTTTTGCCATGTGAAACAATAAAGTTGTTTCTTCCTTTTATTCTTCTGCTCATTCTGGCACAGTATATTGAGTTCACCCTGTGATGTATATGTGTGCCTGTGTAGGTCAGCTGGAGTATATCCATCTCTCAGCCCCCTTTGTGGCAGTGAGAAATAAAGAGGTGAACCTGACTGCTGTTCTGTGGCCCAGCCAAGTGGGAACAGTCACCTACATCTGGTGGATTGGAAATAACACAGAGGTACCGTAAACCTAGGACTCTGCTGCCTCTCCCTGAGCTCCTGCTTCTGTTATGCTTTTGCCCATTTGCAATTAAGTAGGTTGCTGACTCTTCTGCTCAAAGATGTGAGAATCATTACTTTGTTAAGCTATTTTTGTGCATCCAGGTTGCAAAATGAGTAGCCTTCTTAATCAGCTTCGGTAAAAATTGCTGTGCATGCAAACTTTACACATATACCAACACGCTTATTTAGTTACTGTGTATCCAATGAAGTGTATCCATCATTTATTCTTACTCTAAATGCGTTCAACTCAGGACTGAAGCTGCCAGGCTGAACCGATGAACTTAAGTTTTAAGGTCAGAAAAAGCATTTTTTCCCCACTGTTGTAGATAGTTTCAGTATTATGTCGCCATATTTCACGATATCTGCCTATTAAACTCCTGAGGCACCTCTGCTATGAAGGCAAGCACAGTCTATTTTGTGTAAGATTATTCTGAGACACTGAAAAACCTGCCTGTGTATCTGCACCAAAAGATACACTGTGTGCTAGAAGCTCTGTATGTAGAACTGCTCTACTTTCGCTATCTGTCTTTGTAATTGTACTTGTGTAAATGTATTTGTTCAGTACCAACGGGGGCCTTCCACAAGGACAGTCAGTTATGTCAGCCTGTAAAAAAAAACGTGGCAGTATTAACATTTTATAGTTACTGAAGAACAAATAGAGACGTGAGTAATGACAGGAAGGAGCTGGTGGTGTCGCCCAGGAAACTCTCTGCAGGCTACTATGCTGTATGCACACACACACATACAAAGGACGGATTGTTGCGAAGCTCCGTGTGTATGCCCATGCTTGTGTGTGTGCACCAGCAGGCTGACACCTCTGTAGTGTAAATAACAGCAGTGTACGATGTTAACCAGATGATGATAAGGGTCTCTCTCAGGAAGCCTCATACTCCGGCTCTCTCTATCTCTCCCGCCCCCGCCTTCTCTCCCCCTCTCTCTCCCTCACCAGCCAGTAATCACCCTAGAGGGAAGTGTAGCATGCACGTTTTCCCGAGAGGGCATCACTACAGTCACTGTGCAGGTATCTGCAGGGAATACTATTCTGCAGGACAGGAAAACCATTGCTGTCCACGGTGAGTCGACCCTTAATTCCATCTCCACTGGGAACATGCTGATATGTTACGCCCCCACAGTCTACCTAGAAGAAATTCTGACAGATGTTATTATAATCATTATTAAAGATCAATTCTGCTTAATTACAACCTTCACTGTCTTAGTTTTTTTCTGGCCATCTATCAGTAATATTAATATTGTTGGTACCATTTTCTAATAAGCCATCCTTTATAAAGGGCTGTTTTATGTTAAAGATTACAGTTAATCTGGAAAGTAACAAGCCTTGTCCAGTAATCACTGAGATCAGAGAACATGGTGACATCTCTAAAAAGCCCAATGAGGCAAAAAAAAACATGTGCAGTCAGATTATAAGACACGTTTCATACAACCTCATTAACTAAACTCATTTGGAAGGCAAAAAATAAATACATTTTTTAATCTTAACTCTTAATTTAAAAATCCATCAACAGTTTATAGACTGACTTTGTGGTTGGGGTTGGGTTAGGGTTAGGGTTAGGGTTGTACTTTACCCTGCTGTATTTACATTTGTATTATTCATTGTCACTTATTAGAGTTTCTTGCAGCACCTGCGTACATTAGAGTGCTGCTGCAGCGCTGCACCTCTACATATCCAGCAGGCCTCAGAGATCATCTGATCAGGGCTTGTTCTGTTCTTATATATTTTATTTTTATTACCATGATTTAGATCTGCACCGATCAGTTCACCGGTACAGAATGAGTGTTGGTATTGAACAAGTCAGGTATTGAAGGTTTTGATTCAAATGAAATTCTATTTCTTCATCATTTTCATTTATTCAGTCATGGTGAATCTGTAGTGCTACAACTATCCTTGGTCCATAGTATGACCTTATTTATCAGTGTATGTCAGGTACTGGATTGATTTGTCTGGACCTCTGAATAAGCTATGTTGTACTCTACCAGTGTAACTGTATTCCCTTAGCTTTAAATTTGTTTTGATGAGGACCTGAAATTATGGCAAAAACTGTATAATCCAATGTGTAATAAACTGAAATGATCCTCTAAATATGGTGGACTGTGGTCCATTTAAGCTGAATGTAAATTTTAAGCTCTGTAAAGTAAAAGCATTTCGCCTGCATTTTCTTTTCTCACCGCAGAATATTTCCGATCTCATCTGCTCACTTTTTCATCGAACATGGATGACCACAACCCTGATGTTGCAGAATGGAGGCTGGATATGAGCCGGGTCATCAGGAGTGCTCTGATCCAGGTAAAGTTCCTTCAGGTTTTTTCATCGAAACCACTGCTCTACTCTGGCAAATACTGCCTATGCTTGAGTGGACCTCTGACAGTGTGCACGATAAACTCCCTGAGGCTTTGAGACATGAATCTGACATTTATTATGATAAATGGCAAAGCAAAAGGAGGAAGACAGGGAAGAATGTAGTTTCAACATGCTGATTGCAGTCACAGCCTGTCTGGTCAGGGCCATACAGTAACGATGTTTTGTATTTTGAACCATACAGAAGAATAAATATCAGTCTGTGTCTAATGTTTGCATGGTGCTGACCTGAAGGGATGCTTGGAGTTGAATGCTTTGTGACCTGTTCGGTGTAAGACATAATTCGGACCCACACATGACATGTCAGGTTCAGATTTTGCCTTGTTAACTCGATGTTTTTCACAGCATCCCCAGAACATCGATACCTTTCTGAGCCCTAGGATGAAGCAATCTGGTCCTTGCATCATATTTTCACACTATTTCATCCTGAAAAATCAAAATTGATGCCAAAAATACATCTGGCTCTTCAATGTTCAGTGAACTTGTCTGTTTTCTTATTTGTTGTTGACATTACTTCCTCATGACAACCAGCCTGGAAGGCAGAACATGAAGGAAAAAAACCCTTTCCGATGAAAATATGACATGATAGCTTAAAATGTTCACAACATACACTGTGGAAGATCCATGCAAGAGCTGGAACAGGAACCAGAGGCTCTTGCTGGAATCACTGAAGACATTCAGTAAAGTACATGCTCTCCATCTGTTGTGGATTTCTGGCAGACAAAATAGAAATGCAACATATCTGAATCAAAAACCAGCTACACAGGGCTGTTAATAGTGTCTGAATAAGGCTCAACATGGTTTTGTGATACTCTGGTGTGTAGACAGATTATGAGATGATAGATTGGTAGAGACACGAAGAAAAGGGAACCTAACGAATCTTTCCAGGGCTGATGCATTATGTTTTTCCAATGCATTTCCCTGTGTCTGTGTACACAAGGCCAAGGCTGCGCTCCTCACATGCACAGGTGAGCAGAGTACCTCAAGTCAGTGATCACAACCTTGGCAACAAAATCAGACAGTAACAGAGACTGTAGGAGCAGTTTAGCAAAATTCAGAGGTCCACCCTCTCCCCGGACAGTACAAACATCCTCATCCTCCTATTTTTATTTTAAAATTTTCATTTATCAGTGGACATTTTGAATGTTTTCACTTAAGACCGTAGACAAATGTTTCTTGGTTTATGATCTTTAAGTTCTTTAAGTATTTGCCTCCCCCCCCTTTTTTTTTTTACTGATCCAAAAAATAAACAGTTTTGTGACTAAAAACCATGATACCATCCGAAGTGTGAGTTTTGAACCGGTCCACACATATTTGATGAGCAGACTTTGTGTTTTAACTTGACTTTCCCTAAAAATGATGCCAGCCAATCAGAATGTGGGATTATCATGCAGACCCCCTCCCCACCCATCACCACCACCAACAACTCAAGGCGCCACTCAGTCATTTTTGATCTCTTTTAAAGGCTCCCGTGGGTTGAAAACTGCACTTGACCTTTCGCATTTTATTCTCAGTAAAGATGAATGGAGTCTATAAAACACCTTTCAAAGTCTTCCTGCCACAGCTGATCAATACTAACATTCCCCTCCATAAAATCTATACAAAACACTGTAAAAGTCTATTGAAATACTATATTTAGAACACAAAAGGAAACAACTTTGCAAAATTTATAATTTTGACCTACAACAGACAAACTACTTTAAATGCAAGTATCAAAATAATAGTGGGGGCTTAACCATCACAAACAAATTAAGTAACTGACTTTGCTATGAGGAATAATAATAGAGAAGCTTTAGCTGCAGGGCCACCTGACCCCACAGGCCCCTGGGCCTGTGCCTTGTAGGCTAGATTTATCAATTTCTGGCCAATATGAAAGCTTAGTTTTGGTACTGATATCAAACCAGTTTTTCACTACCTTACTTTGAGGAATATCTCTTGTCATGTTTTCTACATTTTTTCCAGTTGATGGAATAGCTGAGTGGTTCCAAAAATCAGGGGCATAGCCCAGAATTATATCAGAGATGGCACGGCAATGGTGATAATATAACTGGTTTGTTTGGTGATGGTGGTGGTGGTTCTTGTTAGGGTGGGGGTTGGGAACCACTGGAATAATCCAACATTTTGCAAAACATGCTTCCTGGTCACCACCTGCTCTCAGCCAAGAAGTAGTTCAACAATAATCCTCACAGAAAAACAATAAATTTAGCTTTAGTGTTTCTGCAGCTCAAACGATCCATAAACAAGTGCGCTTCAAAGGTGCTTGTAGACGGATTTTGTTATCTTCAGACTGAGGCAGCTGTGGTGTCACGAACCATTCAAAGAGTGAATAAGCCAGAAAGGCATAAAAGCATATTACCTAAAATGTTGAACTACTTCTTTAACAAACCATGTTCAAATGGTAAATGTTGTCTGAGCTAAAGCAGCAATAGAAGAACTTTGCTTGCTCCTGTAATACTGGGTCTGCTGTCTGTGGGGAAACTCTGGTCAGACACAAGTTAAAGAGGATTCTGAATCTCAGCTAGTATTTACTACCAGCTTTTGATACAGACATATTTCAGTCTGTACCAGAGTGTTGCGGTTCTCTACCCAGCCCAGTTTGAACCAGAACTCTTTTACCACTCCTTTCCCTTTGGTTTCCCTCCAGGCTACAGGTGTGAGAGAGGATCAGCTTCTGGTCACCGTCCTCCCAGGTTTACCCACAGCAGCAGAATTTTTCCTCTTGCCTGACAAACAGCTAACTGAGGGGAAACCAGAAAAGAGCTCTGCTCATTTAGATCAGGTAAGACAGCTGCTGATTTGCCTGCTAACGTGTGTAACGACCCACAGTGTTTGTGTACTCTCACTTTGTTATCATCACTCTACCGTAAGACCATACAAGCTCAACACACCCACGTTTTTCCTTCTGCTTCGTGAGTCATGGCTTGTTTTTTTTTTTTTGTTTTTTTTTTGTAATTATAATTGCTCCTTGAAAAATAACCCTTAATCTAAGTTCTTCCTTCCTCCAGCAGATGTCAGTATTGCTCTGCTGAAGTTTGTTCAGGCTTCTGCATGAGTCTAATTCTAGAACACGCCTGACAAATCTCTGCAAGAGACTCATCAATAAGCCTGACAAGTATTAACAAGTTATCAAGGGGAATGACTTTTAACCTCCCTCGAGTCACGTCTTGTGGGATTGTTGAGGTGGGAGGGGGAGGCTGGAGTCTCAAAAGAGCTTCAAAATTCAGGCATGAAATTGTCATCATAGTAGATCAGTTCACTAAATCACCAGCATATCAAGATGGACCAAATTAGCTCAGAGCTTCATGTACAATAATAGATAATGAATGAACAGTGTTGGATCTGATCTCTATGGGAAGAATTCCATGGGCATGTGAAGAGAGGGAACCTGGGAAGGAAATCAATTGGATTTTCCTCTTTTCTCCCCACTCATATACTGGGTGGACCACCAGTAAAGATTGTCTCCTCTACAAGTCAGCAATAAAATTCAATTCAAGGCTGCCATCTTAAAAGTGCAGAACATGCTCTGCTTATTACTATGTCTAATAGATTTACTGACCCTGGTATACAGTAGGAAGAGGTGATTAGTCATAGCGCAGTCTAAATTTAAACTATTAATATTAAAGTTGGTGGGGAGGCTGTGAAGGACTACAGAAATTACTCATATCACAATTAATTTGGCAAATGAGGCAGATAAGATGAATGAAGCCTCCGCAGAGAAAAAAATGGGATTTGCTGAAAGAAAATGGAGAATTTTGTTTAATTTGGTGTCTGTTCTATGCAGCTCCATATGTTCTTGTATTGTGTGCGCAGATTAAATTAAAAAAAAATTATTATAGTGGAATATTACTTAAGACATTTCATTTTTAGACTTTGTGTAAGGATTAAAGCCTGATGATGGAGCTTTATAGTTATTTGAATGAAAGATCTTATGCAGGGTAACATATCTAGTTCTTAAGTACTCTGTTTTATCCCTATTTATCTCATTTCAATGAACATTCCCTTGTTGTCTGCATTGTTTACTGTCTGTTTATACTGCTTTTTCTGCATTGTTTGCACTGTTTGTTGATGTTAATACTGCTATTTTGTTATATTACACAGCCTTATGCTGGTTTACTGTTTGCACATTGAGAGCCGATGTACCAGAGTCAAATTCCTCGTGTGTCCGTCACACCTGGCCAATAAACCGATTTTGATTCTGATATTGAGAGTGAATGACATTGGACTCTGGCTTTCTGTAGTTTACCTTCAGACCTGGGTAATCTGCTTGATTAATAGCAAAGATAGATGTTATTAGTGCAGAAGGTTACTTGCCAGTCTGGCAAGCAGAGATCAAGTGAGGCGGCACTGTATGCATTATGCATCACAGTGATCCCATGGACAAAGTATTACATAAACAGGAAAGGTCAGATGGGGTTGCTGGAGGAGGTGGGGAGATTTGTTGGGTCATGGGCATTTACAAATAATACAGTTCAGTACAACAGAGCTGCACTAATTACCACCTCATTAAGGTTCCATTTTCTATGTGTATGAGACTTGTGCCAGTTCAATTCTATGTTCATTTATATACTATAATGTACTTATACTGTCCTTCAGTCAGTGTTGGTGGCTGTGTTTATCTCTTTACCTCTTTGGCTGTTTACCTCCCATTTAAGAACATACAGTCATGGCCAAAAATATTGGCAGCCCTGCATTTCTGTCAGATAAGGTAACACCTATCCCAGAAAAACAACCACAAATTCTTTGGTATTCTTGTGTTTATTTCTTCTGTTTGTATTGGAACAACACAAAAAAAAAAAAAACGGAAAACAACTAATCTGATATATTCCACACAGAACTCCAAAAACGGACCAGACAGAATTATTGACACCTTTTCAAAATCATCAGAAATAGTTGTATGTTGCGTGGACCACAGTGAGCATGGAGAAAAGAAAGAAGAACAAAGAACTGTCTGAGGATTTGAGAACCACAATAGTGAAAAAGCCTGGACAGTCTCAAGGCTCCAAGTCCATTTCCAGAGATCTGGCTGTTCATGTGTCCGCTGTGCACAACATTGTCAAGACGTTTACAGACCAAGCGCTGGAGCTAATCTCACTGGACATGGATGAAAGAGAACAACAGAGGACAGGTTGCAGCAAAAGATTGTTTGAATGGCCACAGTCCTTCTGGGACAATGTCCTGTGGACAGATGAGACTAAAACAGAGCTTTTTGGTCGAGCACATCATTCTACTGTTTTCAGAAAACAAAATGAGGCCTTCAAGAAAAGAACATGGTCCCTACAGTCAAACACAGTGGAGGTTCACTGATGTTTTGTGGTTGCTTTGCTGCTTCACTGGATGTCTTGACTGTGTGTATGGC